ACCCGCGGGCTCAGGCAGTCCACTCACCTCAGCCTCCCAAAGGCGAGGGATTACAGGCTGAGCCACCGAGCCCGGCTTCCCTGAGATTTTTTGTGTATGTCATTCCCTCTGCCAGAGGCTCGCGCCTGGCTGTCCATGTGGCTGGTGTTTTCTTAACCTTCCTGTTTCTGCTTTAAATGTCATCTCTCCGAGATGGTGCCCCCTTCATTCTCCAGCATAGCCCCCCATCACCTCTCTTCTGTCCCTTTTCTCTGTGTGTTACTAGAAGTCCATGTGTTTGTCCACTGCACTGCAGGCACAAGACAGGGCCCCTGTGCTTTTGCTCACTCCTGGCTCTGCTAACACAACATGACACCTGGAGTGTAATAGGGCTCAATTGTTTCAAATCAGAATGGATGATGACCCTGGCTTATGCAAGATATTGTCCCTGACAGCCAAGTCCTTCGGCCAAGTTCTGTGCAGGTCCCCTGAAGGCTGTGTGCTGCCAGGAGACTGGGGCACAGAGCTTTTCTGATGCATTGGAGAGAAAGCTGAATGATTTTGTGAGTTCCCCTTGCCAAGATGGCCCCAAGAACACTACAGTGCAAGACCACTGGGTGGCCGCAGGGACCCCAATATGGCAGGTGATTGGAGTTAAGGAAATAGCATGAACCATGCCAGGATCATGAGGAGGCCAAAGCCAGACATCTTCAGTCATGGGCAAAGTCTGTTTAAGTGGTTGGGTTAGCTGTCCCTGGGCACAGACAGGGACTTCTCATCCCACTCACCTCAGAAAGTGCTGAGTACCTGAGGGGCCAGCCCTACTGGTGGGAGACAGAGATCTTTCACTTAAGACGTGGGTCCAAGCCGGGCTCGGTGGCTCAGCCTGTCATCCCGCGCCTTGGGCGGCTGAGGTGAATGGATTGCCTGAGCCCGCGGGTTCGATACCCACCTGGGCAACTTGGCGAGATCTCATCTCTACAATAAATCAAAAATTAGCCGGGCGTGGTAGCGCACACCTGTAGTTCCGGCTACTCGGAAGGCTGAGGCGGAAGGATTGCCAGAGCCCAGCAGGTCGAGGCTGTGGTGGCCGGGAGCAGCCACTGCACTCCAGTCTGGGTGACAGAGTGAGACTCCAATTCAAAAAAAAAAAAAAAAAAAAAGACATGGGTCCAATATCAGACCCTCACGCCGGACCCTGTCCTTGTAACCACAGAGCCACCTCTTATTTGTTGTGAGGCCTCAGACGAGTCACTGGTCTTCCCCTTACCACATGGTCCTCACTTGCATGGCGCAGCTGAGAGTGTGTTCATCTCACGTGTTTTGGGGGAAGGTTCAAGGTCTAAAGGCAGGGACGTATTCAAGGCTGATGTCAGTGTGTCCACCTACAGCCTGTGAGGTGACATGGCTGACCCAGGATCATCCACTTATCCTGCTGGAGACAGAGCATTGGCTGTCTGACTCCCATCGGAATTGCTTGACCACGCTTGTGCTTTGTCAATCAGTGGATTTGAACCCAGATCCCTGATCTTCCCACAGACATCCCAGCCTTCCAAGAGGTCGCGCTGGTTTGGGATGACAGACACAGGTAGCCATAGCACTCCAGGGTAGGCGGGGGTGGCCAGGGCTTAGCTGGCTCTTCTTGGCAGGGGTGCCGGGTGCCAGGAGGCAGCCAGGAGCTGGTGCAGCTGTGGAACAACATTCACTACCGTCTGGTCATGAGGAGGCTGGGTGTGGCGATGCTCACCCCAGTGCAGAGGTTCCGCTGCAGGAAGAGGTACCCCACTGGCGTTTGTTTGTGCTTATTCCAGGGGAGTCCTGAGGGAGTACCTTCCAAGCCCCAAGGGGATAGGTGAGGACACGTGGGCAGGAAGCATCAGATGAAACAGTAATCGTCACAGAGCGGTCTGCATACGATGACTGTAGTGTTTGTCATGCCCGTGCCGTGTGCTGGTCACTGAGCTGCACTCTCTACCTGCCACACTAGTCAGCTGGTGGCTAGAAACGGATGACCACACATCGGGTAACTGAGCCTGAGGCCAGTCTCCTCCCACTGCCCCCTGGGACCTGGCTAGACAAGGGAGCCCCTAGGGCCAGGGACATGGATGTGGAGGGGCAGACAGGAGCTGCTCAGCCCACACCTCAGGTCGTCTAATGCCCATACCTGGGTTCCAGGTGGCCACTGCAGGAGCTTCAGGACCTTTTAAAGAGATAAGGATGAGAGTGTTGCAAGTTGGAAGTATTAGAATGAATTATGCTTAAGTGCTTAGAAGAATGCCTGGCACATGACAGGCACTAAGTACGTGATGATAATGATCATTGCCACCATTGTGAGCACTGAATAAGTGTCACTACGTCATTATCATTATTGCCGTCATCGCCCCTTGTATATGCGGAAACTGAGGCACAACAAGGTGAATTCACTTGTTCGAGGTTTCACATGAGAGAGGTGGAAAGCCGGGACTCCAGCCCAGACTCTGAGATGCTAGAGCCTTTATTCTTCATCTCAAGTGCTCTCCCTTGGCCAAGACAGGGCTGCAGGTCATGCTGTGAGTTTCTGACAGCCCAAGTCATGAGGGATACCTGAACCACAGGGTCTGGTAGATAAGAACACTGGTTACTGGAGGAAGAATAGGTAGATCCCTTTTTAGACCAGAGTGAATTTTTTTGCATGGTGTCCATCAAATAGAGTGGTGAAGGCCGGGCACGGTGGCTCATGCCTGTAATCCAGCACTTAGGGAGACCAAGGAGAGAGGATTGCTTGAGCCCCAGAACTGAAGACCAGCCTGAGCAACATAACAAGACCTCATCTCTACAAAAAAATGAAAGATTAACTGGTTGTGGTGACACATACCTGCAGTCCCAGCTATTCAGGAGATCGAGGTGAAAGGATCCTCTGAGCCCAGGAGTTTCAGACTGTGGCGAGCCATAATTGTGCCACTGCACTCCAGCCTGGGCAGTAGAGTGAGCCTCTGATTCAAACAAAAATAAGAGAGTGAGGAGTGAGACAAGTCCTCAGAAGCTCAGCAGTTAATCAGCTTTGGAGTCCTCAAGGTACGTGATCATATCCCTCCATGGGGATGCTGACTTTCTGCTTGAGCGCAGTTCTGTGAAGTCAGTGACTTGGGACCATCGTGGTGTCATCTTGTCAATGTGCTTGTGCAGCATTTCCTACGTGCTGGGCACGGGAGGTGCTAGACATGTAGACCAGGCCCTGCTCTCCTGGAGCTGACACTGGGTTGTGGACTGTGGCCGATAGACAAGCGAAGAAAGTAAATCATATAATTCAGAAAGTGAGAAGTGCTCTGCAGAGAGTACGTTCAGAAGAGGACTGTGACATGTTAGGGGCTGCTTTAGACAGGGTAGCCAGCCCAGGCTTGTCCAAGCCTGGGAGGAGAGTCCTGAGCATTGTGACAGTACCAGCCATGTGAGCAGAAGTTTCCAGTCAGAGGGGGTAGCGCATTCAAATACCTGAGGTCAGAGGAGTTTGGTGTCCTAGGGAAGATAGTAAATTTGGGGGAGAGGGTGTATGTTCACAGCCATTGAAAAGTGTAAAAACAATTCTTAGCCTGTAGCTATAGAAACAGGTAGTGGCTAGATTTGCCCATCCTGCCTTAGTGGACCCCAGAGGCTGATAAGGGAGGAGCAGGAAGACACTGGGCTTGCAGCCACAGTGACCACTGGACTGTGTTCTGACAAGCTGGCAGTCCCTAGGGGGTGTCAGGAAGGGGTAGCATCCGAGTTACAGCACATGCAGATGCTGAGGTCAGAAGCAAAAGCAGGAGGTTCTTAGAGGCTCTGAACATGGCCTAGGACTGAAACGGTGGCTGGAGAAGGTAGACAGGGTCATGTGAGGTGGATTTTGGAGGTAGAGCTGGAGGATTTGCAGAAGGGTTGGATGCATTGCAGGAGGTCTTTACCTCTTTAGAAGGAATAAGGAGACTCCAGGGCTCCTGACCTGTGTGAGAATCACCAGGAACATGGAATTTCTTCTCTACTAAAATGGGCAGGGCCTGCGGTAGGTTTGAGAAAGGAGGGGAATCAAGTTCCCTTTGGGATGTGTGAGATGCATTTTAGATGTCTGAGTAGGTGTTTGGATATCAAGCCTTCCACAAACAGATAATATTTGTTAATATATCCTATTTTTCTTATGAAAACATCCAAATCTACACAACAGTAGAAGGGAATAGTGGGCAACCCCCTTGAGTCCCCTCCCACTATGGGAGCTTTTCTGTCCTCGATAAATCCTGCTTTTTTTCTTTTTCTTTTTTTTTCACTCCGACACCCAGGCTGGAGTGTGGTGGCAGACTCACGGCCACCTCAGCATCGACCCGCTGGGCTCTGGCAATCCTTTCACCTCAGCCTTCCAAGTAGCTGGAACTACAGATGGGTGCTACCTCAACCGGCCAATTTTTTATTTATTGTAGAGACGAGGTCTCGACAAGTTGCCCAGGCTGGTCTCAAATCCACGGGTTCAGGCAATCCATTCTCCTCGGCCTCCCAAAGTGCTGGGATTACAGGCTGAGCCACCTGCACTCAAAAAAAGGAGGGAAGGGAGGGAGGGAAGAAAAAGAAGAGAGAGAAGAAGAAGGAGGGGGAGGGGGAGAGGAAGATGGAATGAGAGAACTCACGTTAGAGTCACGTGAGTGGAGTTGATGGGCTGGAAACCAGGGAGCAACAGTAACACACTGCTGGAAAAGTACACTCTGGGGGACAACCTGGTCCTGAGGAAGCCTGTGAATGAGCATGTCCAGGAGGGTGTCCACAGGGGGCCAGGTGAGCTAAGATGTACCCAGGAACTCCATGGGGGCCCATAGAGTATATTCCTTGCCACAGACTGCAGATGTTCAAAGAACTCCATGCAAAGGTGCGAACAATTTATGTTGGGGATGCCAGAGATCGTAGTTTTTACAAGCTGGAGGCAGAGAGTGGCATCCCCTAGGAAGAGGCCAAGGGGACAGAGAGGCACAAGTGTCACCTTCAGAAGGCTAGGCCCTGAGAAGGGAACAGATTTGGGAGGGGACCTTTCTGTCACCTCCTCCTCACCTCATCCAGGAACCCCCCACCCATCTCCCTATGCCCGGAGGGGCAGAAGAGCCGGAACTTTCCCAGAGAGGTTCGCCAGAAGCTGCACGACTTCGCTGCAGGGGTGAGCACCAACCCCAGCAAGGCTGAGAGGGTAAGAACCAACAAGAACCAGGGACCCAGAAGACACCCCTTCAGATGATTCTCCACTTGCAGGTGGCTTCTCCTCCCCTCCAAGGGATTAACCCCCACCTTAGACACTCCCAGTCTCCCATGTTGTTGACAGTTTCCACCTCTTCTCAAACTCTTCTCCAGACAGGGAGCTCATTGACTGAGCCCCTTCAGACTGTCCTGTCTGCCACATAAAGGGTTTCGTTTTCTCACACGGGGTCACCACACAGATGGTCACTCAGCATCCACCAGACTGACATGTTCTCTCACTAGTTTTGTGCCAGGCACAGGGGAACACAGTTCCCCAGGTCCTGTGCCTCCAGGTAATCAGGGCCCTGCCAAGGCGGGCATACACATGCAGCTGCATAGACAGCCTGGTGGGAGTCTCAGCAGGCCCAGGGTTGGAAGTCACCCTAGGGGGCCAGGGCCTGCGTGTCCTGTCCATGCTGACTGCTGTCTGCCCCCCTGAGCATATGCTCAGAAGTTCCTTTAACCAATGCATCAGTGCACCTAGTGCCATCTCTGCTGTTCTTGGAGAGATTAGTCTGGGCTCCCTCTCCTCTTGGCCGGTGGCAATCAGCTATCACAGCTGCCTCTGTGCACCCTTGTGCTCAGGAAATGAGAGCAGAGCTAGAAGTTTTGTTTTTTGGAGGGCAGGAGAACTTGGCCTTGGAGACAAACTTGACTACTGAGCAGGTGTACAATTGGTTTGCAAATTACCGGCGGCGGCAAAGGGCCCTTCCGCAGTGTGTGGAGCCAGCCCAAGAGGCCACGGCAGAAGATCCCAGAGCAAAGAAGAGGGGTCCTGACCCCCTTCAGTCCTCAGGCAACCCCCATGTTGACTCTGGGTTTGTGAACAGGCCTCAGTGGTCAGGTGAGTAGCCCGAGGGCCCCAGCCTCATTGTGGGTGGGGGCTGATTTCTGACAAGGGCTAAGCCCTAAGTAGTTGCTCCCACTACAGGGACAGACCTCTCCCCAATCAGTAGGTTCAGGGCTTCACCTTGTGTAGAGTAAGATCACTGACGCCGAGGGCCAGCCTAGGCTCAGGTTTGGCCTAAGTGGGGCTGTGGATGCCCTTCTGCATTTCAAGGTTATTGTGTGGCCAGAGGAGGTCAGTAGATTGGAGAAATAAACCAAGTACCAGGAGTTGGGATTCCTGGGTTGGTAATTATTGAACTGTTGGTTCCAATCAAAGACAGGACAAGGAGCAAACAAAAAATACTAGGATGACTCAGTGGCAGAACCCTTTTCCGGCCAGCTGGGCTACTCTTACCAGCTGAGACTCAAAGCCTCACTAAGCCTCCCCTCCTATCTAATCTGCTTTCAGCAGGACATCAGGAAAATGGGCCTCCACAAGCCCCAGAGACCACCCAAGTGCCGTGGGAGCCACTGCCCTTGGCCCTGGACTTTCCTGGAGATGAAACCATCTCAAAGCCACTAGCTGCCAGGTACCATCATCCTCAGAGACCATGGGACCATCTCACCTGTTCAGGTCCCTTCATCCTCAGATGGAGACCAGAATATGGAGTGAGTGAAGGGATATTAGGGCCTCAACACTGGCACCTGGTCAGACCTCAGGGTTGGGAAAGCCACCCTCAAGGCACCCAGGTCAGACTAGGGTTGGGGGTAATTTCCCCTGACTCCACACCAGCGTGACCCACCACCTGAGTTCATATATATATTGGCAAATAGGTAAGATTGATTTAGAAGGAAACACATGCAGACCTACCACCTAAAGACAAACCCAGCTGCTACTGGGTTCTGCTGATGTCTAGTATTTGTTTTGCTTTTTATTGAGTAATAGCCAGCATCTCTCAAGTCCCCACTATGTTTCAGCACTATGTGAGCGCTCCCCTGCACTCTCTGCTCCTCTTATGATGAGCCACAAACCTGATGTGAGATGAGAAAAGTGCGGGTTGCTCAGCTATGCAGGCCTGAGCCATGTCTTTTCTGACCGTCACACCATGCTCATTTTTGCTCCTTCTCTTCCCTGCATTATGACATCGACATCTCTCCTGACACCACCTGCTCCTGGCTCATATCCAGGCCCGCATAGCCCAAGTGTGAACCTAAGCAGGTTCATGTGACTGCTCACCTATGAAATGGGGATGGCGAAAGGACCTGCCATGGTGGCTGTTGCAAAGGTTAAGTAGGGGTGATTTAACAAAAAGCCTGGGAGCGCTATTGAGACACAGTGAGCATTTGTAGAACATTAACTCTTTAAATTATAATCAACTGCTACCTACTATTCCTTTAGGATCAGCCATCATTTATTCACTCCACTTTTAGGATCTTGCTAATCATTTTCAGTTTTCAATACTGGAGAAGAATACTTCATTGAAGGTCATTGTAAATAAACTGCTAATGCATTTTAAGTTCCTACGAATAGTCTTCTTTTAGACAGGGTCTTGCTCTGCCACCCAGGTTGGACTACAGTGGCATGATTATAGCTCACTGCACTTAAAATCCTGGGCTCAAGTGATCATCCCACCTCAGCCTTGGAGTAGCTGGGATTACTGGTGTGCTACTGTGCCTGGCTAATTTTAATTTTTTTGCAGCGATGAGTTCTTGCTATGTTGCCCCGGCTAGTCTCAATTCTCTGACCTCGGCCTCCCAAAGAGCTGGGATTACGGGTGTGAGCCACTGCACCTGGCCTGCAGTAATGGGCTTTATTAAGTGTATCTAGGTGCTGAACTTGTCAGAGCCCAGCTGTGCTCCTTGCAGCCACAGGGAGAATGTGAAGGTAGTGTGATTAGCGAGGTAATGGGCCCCACAACCTTCACTGGCTGAGTTGAGGCAGAAACCCATATTTTTTAGCTTGTCTGAAGTCTTCTCCCAGGCCCCACTGTCCTGGCCTGAGGGAACCTCTGCCCACCAAGAGATGGCATTATATGTATCCCCTAGGTCTCTGCAGGGTGGCAAGATGTACCAAGAGGGGCCCGGCCATGATCCTGCCACCTTCTGCCCTGGCCCTGGCCTCTGCCCTCTGGGTGCCAGCAGCAACATGCTGGACCCCTCTCTGGCTGCCCCCGAATCATGGCTGATGTCCCTTGCACTGGCATCCTCCAAGGAAATTTCCTTCCAGACTGGGCAGCTGGTCCATGGTCATGGGCTGGACTTCACAATGCGCCCTGCAGATGCTGCTGTGGCTATGTCCATTGCCACCCTTGGTGATCCCCGTCCTACAGGTGAGTCCACTTTGGGCAGACTATGAGTTTCAGCATCAAACACTGAAACTACTTGGGTCTTGTTTGAGGGGGTAGAAGTGTGGGTAGGGCCAGGATTTCTTGCTAGAATTTGTGTTGTTTGATTACACCTGGAACCAGTGCAGCTGGAGCAGAGACTCTTAACAGATATCCCAGATAATTTCTTATTTATTTATTTATTTATTTATTTTGAGTTGGAGTCTCACTTGGTCCCCCAGACTGGAGTGCAGTGGCCGCTCCCGGCCACCACAGCCTCGACCCGCTGGGCTCCGGTGATCCTTCCTCCTCGGCCTTCCAAGTAGCCGGAATTACAGGCATGCGCTACCACGCCCAGCTGATTTTTTGATTGATTGTAGAGATGAGGTCTCGCTGCCCAGGCGGGTCTCAAACCCGCGGCTCAGGCCATCCACTCACCTCAGCCTCCCAAAGGCGTGGGATTACAGGCTGAGCCACCGAGCCTCTTATTTATTTTATTCGGAAAAATATGTATATACAAAAAACCCAAATTTATTTATAAAAAATCGTGTATTCTTATATGTTTAAACTTCAGTCACCTTCAAACTACCTCTGCTTGTTGCAATATACCTATAAAGACCCTTTTCCACTGCTCAAAATGGTTTTTGAACTTGTCAATTTTGAGGCCGTTTAGTGCTTCTGCTGTTTTTTATTTGACCTCTTCCACATCAGCAAAACATTTCCCTTGGAGGACTTTTTTCATCCAGGGAAACAAAAGAAAGTCGCTCTGAGAGTGATCGAGTGAATAGGGAGAGTGGGACCAGGGAGTCATGCCCTTTTCGGCCAAAAGGCGCTGAAGTTCACTGAAGTTGAACTCAGCCTCTCACAACGCTAGCTGGTACACTGATACTGGTGGCTTCCTAGAACACGTACCTAATGGGAAGCCTGTACTACAAGGGACCTCCCCTCCAAAAAATAATTCTATTTTGGGGGGTCCCTCCTCATATAGAAACCAAACAGGCTGAGAGACTAGCTTAGTGAGGGAGATGAGTCTCACTTGTGAAAAGACAACAGAGCAAGGGCATTCAGGCCTGCACAATGGGATCATTATTCCAGGGGAATAAACAATACAGCCAACGGGTTCCCAGAACACTTATCCAGCAGGGAAAGCCTGTACTACCAGGGGCCCATCCTCCAAAAAGATAATTCCTGTTTTGGGGGGATCCGTCCTGGTATGTGTGCATGACAGAAAAAATATGACAGTGAAAAAAGTGTTAATTGAAAGGAAAGAGCTGCCACTCTGTGCTCCCCACTTAACACAACAGAGGACAACTGAGCTTGTTAGACGTCCCATCTGTCTTCCACCCTCCACACATGGTTGAAATACCATGATTTTAGTTTCTTTCTCAGTTATCATAGTAGCTGTAAGTACCTTTAAAGAATATATACTTGGATATGTATTTTGTCCATCCAATATAACAGAATTTTGTATCTTCTACCTTGTAAGGAGGATATTGGACTATGAATTCACCTACATTTTTTTTGTTAGTGGGTCTCCCTCTGTCATGGGCTGGAGTGCAGTGGCGGGATCACAGCACACCACAGTCTCAACCTCCTGGTCTCAGGTGATCCTTTCACCCCAGCCTCCCAAGAAACTGTGGCTACAGACACACATGCCACCATGCCTGGCTAATTTTTTTTATTTTTGTAGAGATAAAATCTTGCTATGTTGTCCAGGCTGGTCTCGAACTCCTGGACTCAAGCAATCCTCCCACCTCAACCTCCTAAAGTGCTGGGATTACAGGCATAAACCACCATGCCCAGTCAACATTTCTTAATATTCTATGGGTATATGTCAGTAACAAAACAGCTTTTTGGTTTTCTTGGAGTTTTCAATTGCCTTTTTTTTAAAAAAACATTTTCTGCTTTTATCACATCCTTAATATCTGCTAGTATTTCAAACATTCCTTCTTTATCCTATTCCCACCCAAGTGAAGTCTTTTTAGGACTGGGGTGGAGCCATCATCCTCAGAGCTCTCATAACTGCTTGCTTGGGTTTACTGCCGTGCTTCTTGATTTGAAGGTCTTTTTCTTTCACTCTTTTACTCCCTTGTTCTGTTACTGACATCTTCAATTAACTTTGCAAGAAAGGATGCTTGCGAGATAAATTTTCTGACTCTTTGTATATTCTTTAAAATGTCTTTAATCTGCCCTCACATTTGGTAAACAGTTTGCCAGAGATAAAATTCTGAATTGAAAATACTTTTTCTCCTGTATATTTGAAGATATCATATCATTTTTTTACAGCATTCAGTGTTGTCAGATGTCACTCTGATGTTTATTCCCTTGCAGATAACCTATTTTTTCTTTCTTGGAGCTTTTAGGGTTGTTGTTTTTGTTTGTTTTTGTCTTGCTGTTCTGAAATATCACACTGATGGTTCCAAGTATGGGTCTTTTTAAGTCATTTTACTGTTAAGTCTTTCACTTTAAAGTCTCCTCTAAGTTCTGGGAATTTTCTCCTTTTAAAGATCTCCTTTAAGCTCTGGGGTTTTTTTGTAGTTTTCTTTTTTTCCCCAAGATATTGGATCTCGCTTTGTCACCCAGGCTGAAGTGCAGTGGCACAACCATAGCTCACTGTAACCTTGAACTCCTGGCTCAGGGTTCTCCTGCCTTTACCTCTCAAGTAGCTAGGACTACAGGCATGTACCACCATGCCCAGCTAACTTAGGTTTTTGTTTTTGTTTTTGTAGAGATGGCATCTTTCTGTTGCCCAGGCTGGTCTCAAACTTCTCCCACCTTCAGAAGTGCTGGGATCACAGACATGAATCACTGCTTCTAGCCTGTAATAGTCTCAATACTTTATTTGATAAGTTCCTCCTTCCATGTTTCCAGTTCTCTCTACAGAGAACAAATGTTGTTTGGATATTGGAATTCTGGGACCAATTTCCCAAAAAACTTAACCTTTTATCTTATATTTTCTTTTCTTTTTTATTATATGTGCTTTGGGATATTTCTTAAATTCTGTCTTCCAATTATTTATTTTGGCAGTTATATAGTTTAAGATAATTTCAAGCCTTCTGTACTTATCTCTGAATTTTTCTTCCTTCATAGATTATGTTAATTTCTATGAATGTAACTCTTATATTTCTCTGAGGATCTTAACTAGAATTTTTTTTGAGTCAGAGTCTCACTGTGTCGCCCAGGCTAGAGTGCAGTAGCACGATCATGGCTACCACAGCTTCGACCTGCCAGGCTCAGGCAATCTTCCAGCCTTAGGCTTCCAAGTAGATGGGACTGCCAACACGTGCCACCATACCTGGCTAATCTTTTAATTTATTGTAGAGATGAGGTCTCACCATGTTGCCCAGGCTGGTCTCAAGCTCCTGGGCTCAGGCAATCCTCTCACCTCAGCCTCCAAGTGCTAGGATTATAGTGTTTGGCTGGTACTGTGGAGTGTGACCTTTCCTTTAATAGAGAAAGATGTGGAACTAGAAAGAGGAGGGACCTGAGGACTCATTTATCTACAGATGACTAATTGGTTTAATCGTATTGGTGTTTCTTTTTTTTTTTTTTTTTGCTGCACCTGTTTTTTACACTGTTGATGGCTCAGTATTTGCTCTTTGTAATTACTAATAAGGTCGGAGTGGGAATGGTCACTGTCTGACCTCATGCTGGGACAGATGGAGCTGGTCTTCAAACCAGGGGCTTGCGTGTGTAAGGGGTGATTTTCTCTAGTAATCCTTATTCTGTCTGCAGAAATACCTGCCTTCTGGTTCCTTGCTTCTGCCTGGGCACCAGGATTCTGTTTCTTTCTTCCAGTTCCTCAGGGACCTCGGCCCAGGCCCCATACCCCAGCTCCCTGTCAGAGGCCCTCTCAGGGGCTACACTTGCATCCTGACTCTGCACAACTGTGGGCAGTGCTCTTAGGGCTTTACACTTCCCTTTCTCTTGGAGAGAGAAGATTATAGCCCATTGCTCTATGATGTTTGAACCAGAATGTCCCAGATTAGTACTTGAACTTTATTTCCTCTACCTCAAGGTGTCCTTAAAGTTATGCATGAAAGAGAAATAGCAGAAAGCAGAGGTAGAGTAATTTACCAATTGATGTGGAAGGTAACGTTACCTAAGAAGGTCCTGGGCAGCTGGCCACCAGATTAGGAGGTCATTCTGGTGGACAGTAAGGAAGATGGCACAAGCCTTGTCCCTAGGATTGTTGTTCTTTTTCTGAGATCAGGGCCGTCTTAATGCTCGTATAGCCTCATAGACTCAGATCAGAAAAGAACCTACCTTCTCACGTCATAAATGTCACCCTGGAATAGACCAAATCCATAGTAGCTTTTCTTTAAGCATGAAAGATTTTATGAGCTATTCTCTGGAACAAGATCAAAAAGCAGATAAAAATTGTGACAGCTTACACCTCAGTCGTCACTGAGTCTTGTTGAAACCTGAGGTAAGAGTTAAAAGTGAAAACAGCCAAGGACTGGTGACTGAGAGCTCTGGGAACCAGCCACAAGGAGAGCTTGAGGGGGTGTGGCACAGCCTCCCAGAGGGAACGAACTGCAGACTGTAGCTCACATCCCTGGCATTGGGGGAACATGAGGCTTAGAGTGACGAGAGAACTTGAAGTCAGCAGAATTTGATTCTTTTTTTGGCCTCTGGAAGCCTGAAAAGGCCATTGAGATCAATGATCGTCTCAGTTCCTTCCTCAGAGAGGCCTAGGGCAGTAAGTCTGGTTTGTGAGAGGCTAAGGCCCAGGGGAGGTGAGTCTGGTTCGTGTGGCTCAGGGGATGTAAGTCTGGTTTACTGGAGGCTGAGGCCTAGTGGTGGTAAGTCTGGTTCATGGCAGGCTGAGGCCCCGGGGAGGTGAGTCTGGTTCACAGAGGCTGAGGCCCTGGGTGGTGAGTCTAGTTTACTGGAGGCTGAGGCTCAAGGGAGATGAGTCTGGTTCATGGGAGGTTGAGGCTGGTTGGGCTGAGATGAGTCTGGTTCACAAGGCCCAGGCTGGTTGGGCTGTGTGCTGCATCCACCCCCTTGGGCCACACATGGAATGTGCTTCTTCCTCCTGCCAATGGGCTGTGATATGTACTTATGTGCAGGATTTGCTGACTCACCTAGCAACAGTCCCCAGAGTATGCACCCAGAGGATCCAGGCACAAACAGTGGACAGGCAGAGCTACAGGCGGGTAGCTTCCTGGTGACACAGCTCCCACTGCAGGCTCCTGAATTCATCCTCACCCAGAGGTAAGCCCTAAGAAGTCACAAGCCAGATGATAATTTTTAAGGGATCTGAGGTAGAACAGTATCCACTTTATAAAGCCTTGCTGTCTCAGACTGTGGAGATTGAATTCTTTCCTTATGAATTTCTATAACAGCCTCCCCAACCTGCCATCTGCCAAAACGAGGATCACTTTTTCCTCAAACAAAAGTTAACCCCAAGCCGGGCTCGGTGGCTCAGCCTGTAATCCCGTGCCTTTGGGAGGCTGAGGTGAATGGATTGCCTGAGCCCGCGGGTTCGAGACCCGCCTGGGCAGCGAGACCTCAGCTCTACAATAAATAAAAAAATCAGCTGGGCATGGTAGCACATGCCTGTAATTCCGGCTACTCGGAAGGCTGAGGCGGAAGGATCGCCGGAGCCCAGCAGGTCAAGGTTGCGGGGGCCGGGAGCGGCCATTGCACTCCAGTCTGGGCGACCGAGTGAGACTCCAACTAAAAAAAAGGTTAACCCCAAAACATCACAGCAGATGTGGGCATCCCATCCTTTGGACGTGCTCTGGGCTCACCTCTTCCCTGAAAATGCTCTGGGCCCCAGCAGCTTCCTTTTACCTTTTCGTCTTTCCCAAACAGAGCTTCTGAACTGAATCAAGATCTTAATTTTCTATTCCAAATTGTAGTGGTTTTTTTTTTGGTTTTTTGGGGGGTTTTTTTGAGTTGGAGTCTCACTCAGTCGCCCAGACTGGAGTGCAGTGGCCGCTCACAGCCACCGCAGCCTCGACCTGCTGGGCTCCGGCGATCCTTCCGCCTCAGCCTTCCAAGCAGCTGGAACTACAGGCGCACGCTACCAC